GTATTAATTGGTCAAACAACGCAATCAATGGACACCAATACAGGAAAGCAATAAATGAACAATTTCTTCTCCTAGAACCTGAACTAGGCCTCACACAAATTGTTGACTTCCCTACAAGAGGCGACAATATACTTGACCTTTTCCTCACCAATCGACCACAACTTGTCAACCGCTGTACAGCAACCCCAGGGATAAGCGACCACCACGCCATATTTGTTGACACCAACATGTGTGCCACACGTATTAAACCAACAAAGCGCACCCTGTACATGTGGGGGAAGGCCAACATCAATACCATTAAAGAAAAAAGCAAAGCCTTATCAGATACCTTACTAGAGAAAATCAACCCCTCTTCAGACATTAATTACATCTGGACTATTTTCAAAAATGGCTGCCAAAAGATCATTGAAGATGAAGTCCCACATCGCCAAAGTGCTCAAAGATTCAATCAGCCATGGATCAACCGCGATATAAGGCGAATTACCAGACTGAAACGAAGGTGGTTCCGGCGTGCCAAGAACTCAAACTCCACTTCTGACTGGTCAAAATATAAAGATATCAAAAGGAAAGCCCAGCGCCTATGCAGATCTGTCCACGATGCCCACATATCAGACATGCTCCAGCCAGACCATCAAAACCCAAAAGTTTTGGAACTACATCAAATCCAAGAAGAAAGACAACTTTGGTGTGTCTCCACTCAAGAAGGACGGGTTGGCATACAGCGATGGTAAACAGAAAGCTGAACTTCTGAACAACCAGTTCACCTCTGTCTTCACCAAAGAGGACATGGCTCAACGCCCTACTCTTCCTCCAAGTTGCTTACCAACTCTAAAACCTATACATGTCACGATTAAGGACGTCCAGAAGCTTCTGTCTAATCTTAAGCCACACAAGGCTCCAGGCCCAGACAAGATACCCACTAGGCTCCTCAAACTTGCATCAGAAGAGTTGTCTCCAGGCCTAGCAAAGCTATTCCAACTGTCTCTGGATCAAGGTCAGATCCCACTCGACTGGAAAACCGCCCTTGTCTCACCTGTCTTCAAAAAAGGAAATCGCTCATCACCATCCAACTACAGACCTATCTCTCTAACATCAATCTCCTGCAAAGTACTGGAACACATCATCTTCAGCAACATTATGTCTCACTTTGACTCACACAACATCCTCTCTGACTACCAACATGGGTTCAGAAAAAAACGCTCCTGTGACACTCAACTACTAATGACCATTAATGACTTAGCCAAAGGAATAGATAACAACCATCAAATTGACGCTGTTCTGCTTGACTTCTCAAAAGCATTTGATAAAGTTCCACACTCACGTCTCCTTCAGAAACTGGACCATTATGGAATAAGAGGCACAACCCACTCCTGGATTGAAGACTTTCTCTCGTCGCGCACACAACAGGTTGTCCTTGAGGGCTCCTTTTCAGCTACCTCACCTGTCACCTCTGGTGTCCCACAGGGCAGCGTCCTTGGCCCTCTTCTTTTCCTGGCCTACATCAATGATTTACCATCGAAAGTCCAATCCACGGCTCGACTCTTCGCCGATGATTGCCTCCTGTACAGAATCATCCGTAGCCCTGAGGACTCACGCCAACTCCAACATGACCTTGATAGTCTCCAATCCTGGGAGGATGATTGGCAGATGGCTTTTAATCCCGACAAATGTGAAGTCATCCACATCTCCACAAAAAGAAAACCTATTACTAACACCTATAGCATCCACGGAAAAGAACTCAACACTGCAGATCATGCCAAATATCTTGGAGTCACCATCTCTTCAGACCTCTCATGGAAAAAACATATTGATAACATCACCAAAAAGGCTAACTCCACCATGTCATTCATCAGGCGAAACATACGATCTAGCCCTCCAAGCGCAAAGTCTAATGCCTTCAAGACATATATCAGACCTACTGTTGAATACGCCTCATCTGTCTGGTCCCCTCACTCTGAGGGTCTTATCAACCAACTAGAAATGGTCCAACGTCGCGCTGCAAGATTCGTGAAACAAGACTACACACGTACAAGCAGCGTCACCGACATGCTTACCGACCTCAAATGGGACACCCTCCAACACCGGCGCAACAACACCAGAACAACTATGTTCTTCAAGATAATGCACAACCTTGTGGATATACCAGATCCTCCACTTATCAATGCTAAGACTGTCAGAGGGCACAACCAACGCCTCCGCCAAATCAGAGCACGCACCTCCATCTTCCAAAACAGTTTCTTTCCTGCAACCATCGTGCTTTGGAACAAGCTGCCGCAAGACGTTGTTGACCAGACCAGCCTGGATGCTTTCCAATCAGCTCTGGCCAGCCAACATATAAACTACTAATCACAGAGTTGTTTTTACTCTTTTAATAGAAACTGTAAATAGGGAAACTTTTTATTTTTATTTTGGAAAACAGTCAGTCCTGCCTGCTGCGTATGTATATACAGTTTTTTACCCAATTGCGAGTATACTCCTTGCGGAGTGATGCAATCACTTGAGATGATGATGATGATGATGATGATGAGATATTATTGATAGTTTTGGAGTTATACCTCGACAAGCATCATTTAATTTTTTTGGAAATAATTAAAAAAAAAATAAAGCAAGGTAGTATTGGTTTTGAACTCTCTCTGATATTCCTGTTATTAAGAACCACAAAGGGAGTTAATTAAAAATAAAACTAAGTAATGTAGAGTTAAGGTTCTTTGACATTTCACTTTGTCTCACTTGTCTGTATGACTGTGTGATGTTTCAATGAGATATCAATGACAGTTTACAAGTTAAGCATTCTTAAATTAAATGGGAGATAATATAAAAGTTAGGCACGGTAGAGTTATGGTTCTTGAAAACTGCATTTTCTCTGAAGTCTATCACTGTTAAAGTTTTATCCAAATTCCTTCAATACTTTTCAAGTTATTCTTGATATGACTTTCTGTTTGTACCTTAAAAAAAACCAGAGGTTCGGCATTTACAGTACACTGTCTAATGGTATACAATTATTTCCCTGATTTTATGTTAACTATTTATTTTTACAGAAGTCAAAATGATGGATTTGAACAAGGTAAAAGTGTTGGGAGAAACCAGGGGAAGACTGAGGGTAACAGACTGGGCTGGGAAAAAGGAGCTGCAATTGGATCAGAGGTATATGCCCAAATACTAGGTGTTTGCTGTTATCTTTAACATTCACTTTAGCTTTTATAAATATGGTATTTGACAAATATTATATTCTGTATTAATTTTGTTTTATTGAGGAACTGCTACATATTAAATTAAGATATTTAAATAAATATACATGTATTAAGTTATACATGCAATTTGAATCTTTAAGTACTATTGACAAAGATATTTTGCCTTTTAAATACTTTTTGAAGTGTATACATAACATAGGTACTGATCGCTTGCTCCCCTTTGCTTTGCGCTCAACATACGAACATGATAGGGACTAATGAAATCATCCTCAACAAAAAAGCTGTTATATTATTAGTATGTGGTTTTTACAGATTGGTTTCTATGGGGGATATGCAAGGTCACTGCTAGAAGAAATGCAAGATGCTAAACCAAGGTAAATATTTCATTAAGTTCAAATATCTTTATATGAATTTAAACTTCTCAATTTGTTTTCAACTAAGTACTGATCTTTTAAGAATATCTCAGGGAATTGTTTGTTTGTTTGTTTCATTTTACGCCTTTTCCCAACAGTATTTCAGTCATATAGGCTGATCTCAGGGAATGATTTTTAAGAAATAGAAAGTGTAAAAATTACTTCGAGATGTACATAAGTCAGATTTTTTTTATTTTGGTGTTTGACTTTTTCTTTTTTTGCAGTATAAATTCCCTAATTTGCTTGATAATGAAACATTTTGCAATGTTTGATAAACCAAAATATGATACAAATATTGTTCTTTTCAAAGCTTCAGTTACTTACCATCATTTCTAGCAGAATGGTTCAATTATTGCTTAGTGGGTGTGGTGGCCTATTGGTTAAGGGGTTTGCCTCTCAATACTGGGATCATAGGTTTAAGCCCTACTTGGGACATGACTATGTTTCTCATAATATTCGAGCTAAAATAAGTATGTTGGGGGTAATAATTTTTATGCTAAGCTTAGTATGACTTGTCTGAGCCCTACATTGTCACTCTAAATAATTATCAAGGCCACCTGTATCATACAGCCATCCAAGCCTGCACTCTCATGTAGAATCAGCAGACTTAATACTGTTAGCTACTCAGTTTTAGCATTTTAAAAAACGGAAACCCTGTAACTTTTAGCCTGTTAGCCACAACTGAATCTACCCGTGCAACCAGTGCAGAACAGGATCAGCAGGCATATCTTTGTCATCTGATCATGGTCTGCACTGTTTGCTATTGAGACATTATTTTGAAATGTCACCTAAAAATAAAGAATGGTATTGTTCAGATTGAAAAATGGACAATTCCATTTAAGATATTCAGCAAGGAAAGGGTTAAACTACATTGTACTAATGACAGGATATAAACCTCAAAAGGGTAAATTTTTCTCCTTTCTTTCAAAGAATCTAATAAGTTTATAAGACAGCCATGATGCTTGTGCAAGTTATATTAAATACAGCAAGGAAAAAGTTCTTTAAAAGAATTTCTTTATACATCTTTCATTTTCTTCAACTTTTTTTTGGTAAAAAAATATTACCCAGTATAATATTATTCAAAGATCCCTCAAATAATACAGATGTTCACGTTTCAGAGTTGTTAAAACATTAGAGAGAATTATTAAAGCAGCTGAAGATTTCCCTCTATCAGATCCTCTACATCCAGAACTGCAGAGTAAACTTGAAGAATTACGTACAAAATTTAAACAGGTATTCAAGTTTTAAAACTGATGGCCTACAGATGAGTAAACAAAATTTGTAAACAATTCAAACTTAAATAAAAAATGTAAAAGGTTTGTCTCAAGAGTTCTTGTAATTATTGTGTAACATAAAAACAAATTGTCATAGTGTTGTTAAATCAATACATATATACATGCAAATTCAGTTTCACACATTTAATCATATGGATTTACAAAAAAAAAAAAAAAAAAAAAAAAAAAAAATCCATGAAATCTTACTTTACATTCAGGCTAAAATATCATTTATTTTGACTTTGATGAATTATAAGCTGGGGGACCCAGTCTGTTGGAACTGTTTGCATTCCAAGAATGTCAGATTTCTGTGTGCAAAATTTTATTTTACTGAATCCTTGTCTGTCTGATCCATAATACACTTTTGCCGTCAGTCTTTTTAGCTCACCTGAGCATGCTCAGGGTGAGCTTTTAGGATCGATGATTGTCCGTCGTCCGTTCACATTTAGTTGTTAACACTCTAGCGGTCGCATTTTTGCGTCAATCATCATCAAACTTGGTCAGGATGCTTATCTAGTCGATAGCTCGGATGAGTTCGAACATGGGTCATCTCGGATGAGAAACTAGGTCACAAGAGCTCAAAATAGAAAAATCTTGTTAACTCTCTAGAGGTCACATTTTTGCCTCAATCATCATCAAACTTGGTCAGGATGTTTGTGTAGGTGATAGCTCGGATGAGTTCGAACATGGGTCATCTCGGATGAAAAAGTAGGTCACCGGAGCTAAAAATAGAAAAACCTTGTTAATACTCTAGCGGTCACATTTTTGCATCAATCATCATCAAACTTGGTCAGGATGCTTATCTAGGTGATAGCTCGGATGAGTTCGAACATGGGTCATCTCTGATGAAAAAGTAGGTCACCGGAGCTAAAAATAGAAAAACCTTGTTAACACTCTAGCGGTCACATTTTTGCATCAATCATCATCAAACTTGGTCAAAATGCTTGTCTAGGTGATAGCTCGGATGAGTTCGAACATGGGTCATCTCGGATGAAAAAGTAGGTCACCGGAGCTAAAAATAGAAAAACCTTGTTAACACTCTATCGGTCACATTTTTGCATCAATCATCATCAAACTTGGTCAAGATGTTTGTCTAGGTGAAAACTCGGATGAGTTCGAACATGGGTCATCTTGGATGAAAAACTAGGTCACCGGAGCTAAAAATAGAACAACCTTGTTAACACTCTAGCGGTCACATTTTTGCATCAATCATCATCAAACTTGATCAAGATGCTTGTTTAGGTGATAGCTCGGATGAATTAGAACATGGGTCATCTCGGATGAAAAACTAGGTCACAGGAGCTAAAAATAGAAAAACTTTGTTAACACTGTAGTGGTCACAATTTTGACTCAATTGTCATCAAACTTGGTCAGGAAACTTGTCTAGGTCATTGCTGGGAATAAATTGAACATGGGTCATCTCGGATGAAAAACTAGGTCACAGGAGCTAAAAATAGAAAAAATCTTGTTAACACTCTAGTGGCTACTGTTGTGATCCAAATATTCTGTTAATTGGTCTGAAAGTTTGTTTTGATGATTTCTAAGTCAAGATCAAACATGGGTCATCTTGGATGAAAAACTAGGTCACACCGCCCAAATATGGGAAAACCTTGTTAACATTCTAGTGGTCACATTTTCGACTCAATTATCATCAAACTTGGTCAGGATGCTTGTCTAGGTAATTGCTTGGATGAGTTCGAAATCGCATGTGAAACTAGGTCACCGGAGCTAAAAATAGAAAAATCTTGTTAACACTCTAGTTGCTACTGTTTTTATCAAAGTATCCTGGAAATTGGTCTGAAAGTTTGTTTTGATGATTTCTAGGTCAAGTTTGAATATGTGTCACCTGGGTAAAAAACTAGGTCGCACTGCTCAAATATGGATAATCCTTGTTAACACTGTAGTGGTCACATTTTTGACTCACCTGTCATGAGACTTGGTCAGAATGCTTGTCTAGGTAATTGTTTGGATGAGTTTGATAAAGTCAGGTGAGCGATCTAGGGCCATCATGGCCCTCTTGTTCAAGTAAATCCTAAACCAATGTGCCTTGCTGCTGTGAATTAATGTTGGTCAACCCATTGGGAAACCACATGTAAAACTCTGTACCACTTGTTTAGTGGTCTCATATCACATATATTGATATTGTTTTGAACAAGCAAATTCGTTGAATTTATATCCCCCGCCGAGTACTGGTTATTATTAACACAACAACTGAATATTTAAGGCTTTATTTATATATTAATCATGGCATAAATTAAACAGTAATATTCTTTGAACTTGATAAATATTCAGGGCAATAACAGAGCCATAACTTTGTGTTAAATAGTAAAATCTGGAAATGCCAATGAGATGTATGCATACTACATAACTAATCAAGGGCCATAAATCTGAGTTATAAGTATCTGACTGGAACAAGGCGACTATATGCACATCTCCTCTTAGTATCCCATAAAGTTTCATTGAATTCCAGCCAGTAGTAGCAGAGAAGTAGCGAGGAAACAAATATTTTTCTATATGGATACTGCATAACTAATCAAGGGCCATAACTCTGAGTTAAAGTGTCTGACCGGAACAAGCCGACGATATGCACATCTCCTCCTGGTATTGAAGGTTCCCATAAAGTTTCGTTGAATTCCAGCCAGTAGTTGCAGAATAGTAGCGCGGAAACGATTTTTACTCCATATGCATACTGCATAACTAATCAAGGGCCATAACTCTGAGTTAAAGTGTCTGACCGGAACAAGCCGACGATATGCGCATCTCCTTTTGGTATTGAAGGTTCCCATAAAGTTTCGTTGAATTCCAGCCAGTAGTTGCAGAGAAGTAGTGCGGAAATGATTTTTACTCTATATGCATACTACATAACTCATCAAGGGCCATAACTCTGAGTTAAAGGGTCTGACCGGAACAAGCCAACGATATGCGCATCTCCTCTTGATATTGATGATTCCCATAAAATTTCGTTGAATTCCAGCCAGTAGTTGCAGAGAACTACTCCGGAAACGATTTTTATTCCATATGCATATTGCATAACTAATCAAGGGCCATAACTCTGAGTTAAAGTGTCTGACCGGAACAAGCCGACGATATGCTCATCTCCTCTTGGTATTGAAGGTTCCCATAAAGTTTCGTTGAATTCCAGCCAGTAATTGCAGAGAAGTAGCGCGGAAACGATTTTTACTCCATATGCATAACTAATCAAGGGCCATAACTCTGAGTTAAAGTGTCTGACTGGAACAAGCCGACGATATGCGCATCTCCACTTGGTATTGATGATTCCCATAAAGTTTTGTTGAATTCCAGCCAGTAGTTGCAGAGAACTACTCCGGAAAAGATTTTTACTCTATATGCATACTACATAACTAATCAAGGGCCATACCTCAGAGTTAAAGGGTCGGACCGGAACAAGCCGATGATATGCACATTTCCTCTTGATATTGATGATTCCCATAAAGTTTCGTTGAATTCTAGCCAGTAGTTGCAGAGAACTACTCCGGAAACGAAATTCGGACGGACGGATGGACGGACGGAAGGATGGACAGACAACGCCAAAACTATATCCCCCTCCCGATTCCATCGGCGGGGGATAATTAAACATACTGTTTTCTATATTTAAGGTGTGCTCACAATTGGGTATCAAACAGGAAGCTCCAAGCAGTTCAGAGAATAAAGGAATATCTTTCTGAGATGTCTCCATAGTAAAGTTAACAGTGATGAAGTTAGCCTCAGGCCAAGTTGAAGGTTTCAAATATTTTTTGTTTGTTTTTTTCCCCCTTTATATCAAAACCAGTATTGTGAGAACCCACACGGAGCATCAGGCTCCATGTTCATCAAATTATCCTGATATTATTTTTCATTATTATATGTCAGAAAAAATTTTGGCATATATTATTATGCATCTGGTCGTCTGTCTGTCTGTTAGCAGTTTTTGTGTCTGGTCTGTATCTTTGAACAGATGGAAGAAAATTGAAACAGCTTGGCAGAAATATGTGCCAGGACTGATTAAGTTGTTGGAAATTTGTATCTATTTGTCGGTGTTTTGGTTATTTACCTGCACGTTTGGAGTTAACTACATGTTGGTAAGGGGAAGTAATAAATGAAAATTATATCTTTTGTTTCCAGGATGCCATTTGTTTGCCCTGAGGAAGGAGGGGTGTAATGAAATTAACACAATTGAAGATGAATGAAATGGACATTTTGGGACCAAAATGGTTACCTGAATATGACATTAATTTAATGGAGAAATTATGTGCCATTCGTTACTGAAAAACCAATGAATAAAATTATTTTAATCAAAACAGTTACTGGTTTGTTTCGTTTTTTTATAAGAAATTTTATTTATAATTTAATTGTCAAATTCAGCTTTTAGTCATACTGAGATAACATGAAAAACAGGCAACATCATGTACAACAATTTTGATATCAAATGATGTTAACTGATGGACCATAACATTCCAGATATACTGGTGGAAGAAGACCCTTGACGTACGCATTTTTTCAGCCATGAGCAGCCACCCAAGTAGAACCACCAACCTTCCTTAAGTTAGCTGGATAGCTTCTTCACAAAAGAATCCCACAGCTGCGAGGAGCAAGTGATTTGAATTTGACAACTTTAACCACTCTGCCACAGAGAGTTGTTCACTTCATATTAGTAATTCGCTAGCATCCAAAGTAAAGGGAATTGTCATAAAACAAAACTTTCTACCAATAGCTAAAAATGAAATGACGAAAGAAATTTTCGAGACCTTGTGCATACATTACTTATTAGTCCCCTACCGGTTTACCGGAGGGGACTTTAGGTTTACCCTCCGTCCGTCTGCACGTCCGTCCGTCCGTCAGTCCACAAAACTGGATCCCGTGATAACGCAAAAAGTACTGAAAATATTTTAATGAAACTTGATATATGGATAGATGGCAGTATGGAGATTATGCACGCCTTTTTCTTTTCTTCCTATGTTGAAAATTCTGGTTGCTATGGCAACAAATAGACTGAAAATATGGCAAATTTTACACATAACCTGGATCCCGCAATAACGCAAAAAGTACTGAAAATATTTTTATGAAACTTGATATATGGATAGATGGCAGTATGGAGATTATGCACGTCTTTTTCTTTTTTTCCTATGTTGAAAATTCTGGTTGCTATGGCAACAAATAGACTGAAAATATGGCAAATTTTACACATAACCTAGATCCAGTGATAACACAAAAAGAAATGAAAATATGTTTATGAAACTTGACATATGGGTAGATGGCAGTATGGAAATTATGCACATCCTTTTTTATCTTCCTATGTTGAAAATTCTGGTTGCTATGGCAACAAATAGAATGAATTTCAAGATTTCTGATTCTAGTTTTTAAGCTTTTTCACTATAAGTTCTTTATTTCTTAAGGTATTTTCTTCAAACTTTTAATATAAGTTGCTTGTCATCAACCACATCATATGTGACAAGGTTAACAACTCTAGCACAAAATTTATCAGAATTACCTCCCTTGAACTTAAAATTTTCATGAAAAAAACATTGTTTGTAAGTACTGAAAATATTTTTATGAAACTTGATATATGGATAGATGGCAGTATGGAGATTATGCACGTCTTTTTGTTTTCTTCCTATGTTGAAAATTCTGGTTGCTATGGCAACAAATAGACTGAAAATATGGCAAATTTTACACATAACCTGGATCCAGTGATAACACAAAAAGTACTGAAAATATGTTTATGAAACTTGACATATGGGTAGATGGCAGTATGGAAATTATGCACATCCTTTTTTATCTTCCTATGTTGAAAATTCTGGTTGCTATGGCAACAAATAGACTGAATTTCAAGATTTCTGATTCTAGTTTTTAAGCTTTTTCACTTTAAGTTCTTTATTTCTTAAGGTATTTTCTTCAAACTTTTAATATAAGTTGCTTGTCATCAACCACATCATATGTGACAAGGTTTACAACTCTAGCACAAAATTTATCAGAATTACCTCCCTTGAACTTAAAATTTTCATGAAAAAAACATTGTTTTTTTTAATAACTTTTTTTTCTGAATGTATCTACTTCAAACTTCATATAAATGTTTCTTATTGTCACTCAACATTTGTGAGTGTTCAATACTCTAGCAAGACTATTTCCAGAATTATGCCCCTTTTGAACTTAGACTTTTTTTTGAGAAATTGGTAATTTTTACTCCAACTTCTTCAATCATGATAGGATTTTAAAAATGTTATATTTTGATAACAGGGATGTTTAAAAAATAACTTTAGAGTGGCTTCAGTCCGTCTGTCTGTACATAAAAACTGTTTCCTGTGATCACTTTTAAATAACTTTTTTAACAAATTTACTTAAAATAGGAACCTAAGTGAATGGCCAATGGCCCTTCAGAATGTTGCTTGGGCTCTTACCGGTAGGGGACTTATGGATTGCTTGCAATACTATGATAATTGCTTGTATTAATTTTGTTGTACATATGGAGAAAAAAAACACAGCAATTATTTTTCCAAATATGATTAAATCATAAAATTGTATCAATATTTTACAACTTCAATGTATAAAAAAAGAAGGAACAAGCAATCTCAAGAGAATAACAGTTTATTTTTATCATTAGATCAATGTACAATAGTCAACAATTCACAGCACATTTGGATGATGATGACTCATGTGTATAAACAATATGACATGAGCTGCGCCATGACAAAACCAAAATAATGGGTTTGCAACCAGTATGGATCCAGACCAGCCTGCGCATCCGCGCAGTCTGATCAGGATCCATGCTGTTCGCTTACAAACCCTAGAGAGAAACTGTAGAGAAACTGAAAGCAAACAGCATGGATCCTGATCAGACTGCACGGATGTGGATCCATGCTGGTCGCAAACCCATTATGTTGGTTTTGTCGTGGCGTGGCTCACATGTGTTTAAACATTCTTGTCAAAACTTTACATCCCTATCCTGTAAATAAGAGAGATATAAAGTTCTTAACAAGCAAAATGTTCTATTATAATAATATGAAGATATCTTTACAAATCATTACAGATTATATATACATACATTTAAACACATTTCTCTCTTAGCACAATGGCGATTGTAATTACATTTAATACACATGATACAGTACAGAATGTTAAGATACCATCTTGTTACTCATCTTAAAACATGGTACAGTTAACTGTTGTCTTGCATTCCATTCCATTCAAAATTTTCAGCACTTTTTAAATATTTTGCACTTTTCTTTGTTATTAAGCACTCAAAGATATTTTTTTCATACCGTGTCTTGAAATTATCAAAGCACAGCTGATCAGATTTCTGATTCAATTTAGCATTAGCAACTTACAGAATAGTATCTAAATGTTGTAAGCTAATAAAATCATATTTAATTTTAAACCAACTGAAAGCAAGAAAATTCTTTCTAGAGGAAATTCTCATACACAAAATATTATTAGGTCTTGTATAAATATGTTTCATATTTTTTTTATTTTTTTTTTTAAATTAAAAAAAATTGTAGGATTTTAGTCGCACTAACACTGTAAAGGTCATATGGCGACTTTTCAGCCATACTGGTGGAGGAATACCTTCAAGGTGCCACTCTGAACATTATTTCATGCACAAGCCGGCACTTGGGTAGAACCACCAATGTTCGTGAATCACACCAAAAAATGGGATACTAAATTGCTGTCTACTGTCATTTATGATGTTAAAAAAGTATAAATATCAAAAATCATACAAAGATTCTATTTTTCCTTATTTCCTCATACTGAAAAACAAGAAATATAGCCACTTTACTTACAATACAAATACATCTAAATGCCCTTCATAACCATACAACAATAAAATCCCGAGATAAATAATTATCCTTATTATTAACTGAATAAAAAAACACCCTTTTTAGGTACATTAATTTACCTTTATATAAAAAGTAGTACAAAATGCTGAATATTTTGGCAAAATTTAAAACACCCCTATTTTATGCTCATTTACATAAGCTGTATAATGTTATACAAGTAAGTAAAATTAAAAAAAAAATTTAAACAAATGATTCTTTCCTATTATTTCAGGTATCAATTTTGTTTTTTTTTTTTTTTTTTACTTGATTAAATTGGAACAAAGCACAAAAAAGCTCTCTGTACTGTTGAATTGTTCCTTAATATAAGCATGGTTCCAAATCTGTTTCAGACATCACATGCCTTAGTCATAAATACAATCAAGAACTGCTCATGTAAATTTTATTATGCGCTTTAGAAAACATCAAATATAACTTCATTTTATGAAGCTGAATAACTTATAACTGTGCCATGACACACACACACACATGTGGTAGTGGCTGTCTATAAATGTAAGTATGATGTCATCAGCTGATCTTGGAATAGGAAGCACAATTTTATCAATATGTGAAAAATAGTAATTCAATAAATGTTGAAAAATTCACATTATCAAATAATTCAAAGAGACAAGTATGTATTTTAATTAAGTTTGGCAGTGTTATTATCAACTCACACTAGCAACCAATTAACTTAACTAGCATTCCATATTTACTTCACAAGTTTTATATTCTATAATACCCTAAGACTGCTTGCAGCAACTGAATCTAGCCATGCAACCAGTGTAGACCTAGATGAGCCAGCACATCCATGCCATCTGATCATGGTCTGCACTATTTTCTACCCAGTCAGTTATTTTGAAAATTTCCTTTAAAAATGATGGTTTTGTCCACATTGAAAAATCCATTTAAGACATTTAGCTTGGTTTTATGTAACTCTCAAGCCACATAAATCTCCAAGAATCATAGTTGGTGCATTAATTTTTTTTCTAAATTTGTTAAGTTTGAAACCCACAGCAACACAAGGGTTACTGTTGAACAGTTTTGGAGGAATAACCCAGAAAGTCAATATTTGCAGGTAGAACAAATTTACGGCAAACTACCTGGATAAATGTCGTGAGAAAATATTGATGTTGAGTAAACTGATTCCTGTCTACTTCTTTGCCAACAGTTTAAAATGATCAACTATCAATTTAAATCAACTAAGTTTAATCATTATAATTCATCATTTTAGTCCATTAATTCTCTGTCTTCCTTTAAAATTTGGTGTTAATTCTCGCAGCACTATGTTATATGTAATACCTTATACTGTGAAAAGATATAAATAAAGTACCTAGCATTAAGCAAAATAAACCCTGCAATTCAAAATGTTTCAATTTATAAAGCTTAGCAATTTCAACCAAAAACATTCTGATAAGATATAAACAATGGCCATAATATATACAATTCCATCAAATTATTGTAACAATGTTTGAACATTTGCAACAGTGTTTTA